CTTTTAGTATTTCTTGTACTTTCTTTGTTGACTTTGTTGATTATAACTGCTATTTCTCTATTTGACATGGCATTGTGGAATGTCAATTTACAATATTTGCTGGGTTTGCGAAGTACTTTTTAAAAATAAAATATTTCTCAGAGGTGGGTAAATATTACTATTTCCTTTTTATAGATACAGGAACTGCAGCAAGGAAATGTTAAGTGGCATGCCTCAGCTTACATAGCAAGTCAGTAGCAGAAATAGGGTTAGCTCTGATAGATCTGTTGATTCCACACTGGTGCTCTTCTGCTTGTCATCTGCCTCCTTAGCTCAAGCAGCTGTCATTTCCATTTAACTGAAGATTATATTCTTTGAAGCACCTTGAGCTGTTAGCTCAAAAGCCACAATGGAATAATAAGGATCTTACAGAGAGAAGAGGGAGGGAAGAAGCAGCAGTAAAATGAGGTGGATAAGAAGAGAGGTTTGATTTGTGAACCCTAAAATATATGATCATTTTGAAAAGCCATGACTCTGAGCTCATTCAGTGATAGGAAAGGTGCAGTTTGGGGGCTTGGACTTTTATAAAGCAGCAGCTTATCTCCAGCTTTTATAATACGGACTTGATAGTTACAAGATGGCTTTTACTGTAGCCTCCCAATGAGCTTTTGAAAATAAAGCTCAGTAAAATGGCTTGTCAGACTGTGTGTGTGTGTGTGTGTGTGTGTGTGTGTGTGTGTGTGTACGTGTGTGTGTGTTCTCCCTCAAAACCTGGCAGTGATCACATAACAGCTCCCTGATAGTTGTGCCTTTCCTACCACCCCCACTCCCACCCTTTAAATATGCTGAGACTCCCTTTCACCTTAATGTAATATATGTGGTGTCTATATTTCAACTCCACATTTAAAAACCGTAGGCGAGTTTTGATCCTGTAGCCATATTTCTTTACATGCAGGAATGATCTCATGACTCAAATGGAGCTGTACATGCACATGCTGACTGCTTGAGGTGAACAATTTTGCTGAACAATCTGGGGTAAGCTTTTAAACCTGGCATGTAATGATGAAGTGAGCTTCCGTTCATGAAAGCTTGTTCTCTGTCTGGTTTGGTTAATCTATAAAGTGCGCATCTATCCTGCCTTAAACTTTAAACTCTTCAAGGCAGGGACTATTTTAATCATGTGCTTATAGCGTATCCACTCAGTGCAGTTCTGCTACATGACCAGGCTCTTGAGCACTGAGCTGATTTTTACTAAGGAGAGTGCATAGCCAGGCTGCGCTCACCTACCTGCTGCTGCAACACAACTTATATAAATGCCCCTCATGGTATATTTATTACTTTACTTGGGTATATGTCTGTTGAAATCAAAGTCCATTCATACTGCCCTCCCCAGTCCTCACAAAAGCACTCATGGCTGGCATCTTTGGCCTGTGCCATGCGGTGGTGGCATGTCTCTGGCCAGCTCAGGGAGCTGGGCACCAGGCAATGTGTGGGGGCACAGTCACAGCTTCATTTGTATTCAAACAGGATAAAAAATTCCAGATTTTGGGGGGCAGACAAGGTTCTTTGGGTAAATCTGATATCCTTTATTAGACCAACTCATTTGGAAAAATTTGTCTTAATCAAGCTTTTGGGCACAAATACTGCTAATCAGGTTGACAAAGCATCTGCAGATGGTTTGTGGTCTTGCTGGATGAAGTAGTAAAACAGCCAGAGGGGTGTTGTTCTTTTTTTTTTCTTCTTTTGATTTTTTGGGGAGGGGTTTTGCTTTCTTCTCCATCCTGGTCCCCCTTCAAATTCCCCCTGGCTATTTTTTCCCATGGAAAACTGACCCCATTGGAGGGGAGGGGGTTCCCCCCCCTATTTTTCAGGAGCCAGATGGCGCAGGAAGGGCGGGCTGGGGGCCCAAGGTGGGTTGCTGGCACTGAAGGACCAGAACTGGGGCTGGGGCTGGGGCTGGGGCTGAGGCTGGAGCTGCTGCTGTAGCTGTTCCTGTCTCTCACAGGGAAGCTGCCGTTGTGCCCCATGCCAGGGAAGTGGTCTCCCCTGCATTCAGCGCAGTGCTGCGCAGTACAGCACTGCCCCCAGTGCCCCCACGATGGGATGGAAGCGGGAGCCCAGCCTTGCCTGACAGGTCTGTGCTGGGCTGGGCCGTGGGGGCAGGGTGGGCAGGGCTGTTGCTTAGGCAACCGTGACCCTGGGCACAGCTCCTGTCTCCTATCACCCCCTTCCCCTCCCCATTGGTGACTGGTACCTCTTGAGCGCTCTCAGGGGGTGCATGGGCACTCCCTATGCATTGCCACTGGTTCAGTGTCTCCATTAATGATCTGGAAGATGGGATAGAGTGCACCCTCAGCAAGTTCTTGGATAACATCAAGCTCGGGGAGTAGTAGATACACTGGAGGGCAGGGCCAGTATTCAGAGTAATCTAGACAAAGTGGAAGACTGGGCCAAAACGAATCTCATGGGGTTCAACAAGGACAGGTGCAAAGTCCTGCACTTATGACGAAACAATCCCAGGCTCCACTACAGGCTTGGGACCAACTGGCTAAGCAGTAGTTCTGCAAAAAAGGACCAGGGTTACAGTGGACAATAAGCTGAATATGAGTCACAGTGTGCCCTTGTTGCCAAGAATGCTAATAGTATACTGGGCTGCATTAGTAGAAGTGTTGCCAGCAGATCAAGGGAAGCAATTATTCCCCTCTATTCAGCTCTGGTGAGGCCACATCTGGAGTACTGTATCTGGTTTTGGGCCCCCCACTACAGAAAGGATGTGGACAACTTGGCGAGAATCCAGTTAGGGGTCAGGGGCTTACTGACTTACAAGGAGAGGCAGAGGGAACTGGGCTTATATAGTCTGGGGAAGAGAAGACTGAGAGGGATTTGCTAGCAGACTTTAACTACCTGAAGGGTGATTCCAGAGAGGATGGAGCTAGACTGTTCCAAAGAGGATGGTGGCAGATGACAGAACAAGGAGCAACAGTCTCAAGTTGTAGTGAGGGAAGTTTAGGTTGAATATTAGGAAAAGCCTTCTCACTGGGAGGGTGGTGAAGCACTAGAGAGGTAGTAGAATCTCCATACTTGGAGGTTTTTAAGGCCTGGATGGAATTCTCTAGCTGGAGATGGTCCTGTTTTGAGCAAAAGTTGGATTAGATGAACTTCTGAGGTCCTTTCAACCCTAACTTTCTATGATTTTATGATTCACTGCACTGCCTTTAATTAAAGAAGTAGGTGGGTTGGAGTGTTATAGCCACGTTGGTCCAGGGAATATGCAAGAAGCAAGCTTTTGGACATAGAGCACCTGAGAAAGAACCAGTTACAGCCTAATTGAACAACTGGATAAATCATTTGCCATTTCATGTGCTAGATTTTTCAATATTCTAGGATGGAAGTTATCTTGGCCTCTTTATTTCATCACAGTAAATAACCTGAGTTTTGCTTCTACTCAAACGTGGTCATTTCCACTTTCATTTCCTTATTCAGTACAGCTACTCCACGCTTAATGTTGTAGTTACATTCTTGAAAAATGCAACTTTAAGCGAAGTGATGTTAAGCAAATCCATGTATGTCACAGTAGTTACCTACTAGCAGGCAGCAGCCAAACAACATTATAACTGAACACTGCACAACTTTAAATGAGTATGTTCTCTAATAGGTCAGTGATGTAACAATGAAACAGCATTAACCAGGATGATGTGAAGTGAGGAGTACCTGTACACTGTCATCATCTTAATTTAATTTTTTATCCCAGTTAAAGATTGAGGAAGTACTTGGGCCACACCTTGATTATGCTTGATCTTCACTACATCTTCAGTGAACAGTGGCCCCTAGAATGTAGGGTAAGGAGTTCATTTTTTTGTTGAAGTTGTTTTTAGTAGGCATGTCTATGTTAGACACCAACTGTACAGTAATCAAATAATACTGCACAGTAGTGTCACAGCACTAAGAGTGCTAATATGCTACTGTGCAGTATTATTAGGCTACTGTGCTGTAGTGTCACTTAAAAGACATTCACTGGTGCTACTGTGCAGTAATTCCAGTTATTGTGCTTTTATTTAGTGCTTGCTTATACAAGTACTGAATAATGCTCGGTAACCACTGTGCAGAGTGTCTTGTGTAGATGCATCCAGTTAGGCAACAATCATAACAGATTAAGATAATCAAGCCCCAGGATGTACCACTGACAAAACTGTCACAGTTATGGAGGGGTGCTAGTGGTCCTGGGAAGAACTGTATCTTGGCCCTTCCTGAGCCTTGCCTTGGTCCATTTTGGGGGCTCCTGTTAGAAGCCTTGAAAAGGAGGGGCAGCGACCAGGGGAAGCCCGACCAGCTCCAGCTCCAGCTCCAGCTCCAGCTCCCGTCTCTTCCTACCTTCTCTGACCTCCCCATGGGCAGATGAAGGGAGCGGGGTCACTCACAGGCGAGCCCCAGGGCTTTGCAGAGGGTGGTGTGCATGGGGAGGCACGTCATCCTCAAATGGAAGACTGCATGCCTTTTTCTCCGGTGAAAAAGAAACACAAAGCTTTCCTCTGAGGCCGGGGCCCCCCAAACCTAAGAGACACAGCTTAAGAGTGAAGCAAAAAGCAAGTAGGACAGTGTTGGAATGAGTTAAAAACAATGTGCCAGGCTGTGGGGTAGGACTTTGGTGACCAGGAGCAGCTACCAGGCAGCAGCAGGAAGGAGACTCTGGCTGGGAGGGTTCCAGGGGACTGTGAGGCCACTTTCTTTACTCTTCATAGTTTCATAATTTCTAGGGTCGGAACGGACCTGAGCAGATCATCTAGTCCGACCCCCTGCCATGGCAGGAAAGAGCACTGGGGTCAAATGACCCCAGTAAGGTGGTCATCCAACCTCCTCTTAAAAACCCCCAGGGTGGGAGCCTGCACCACCTCACTTGGAAGCTGGTTCCAGACCCTAGCTGCCCTGACC